CTCTCTCTCTCTCTCTCTCTCTCCCTCTCGGTACCAGGGATCAAACTTGGGACCAGGCGGAGGAACCACTCAGCTAAATCCTCAGCCTATGTATAGTGTATTTTAGGGGAGGAAAATGATATCAATACATCCTCTGTTATCCTCAAGAGACAGAAGAACATTATTGCTTTTAGATGAATTTTTAAACTGACTTGAAAGGGTACCAGGTAAGACATATAACACAGAATGCTGTGCCGTTTTGGAGAACGCTGCTTTCTCTACAAAGTCAACACATTCATGATGTCTTGCGTCATGCAACCTACCCTTCAAGGGCAAGCAGGACTCGGAACTTTTCCAGGTTATCTGCCATGGTTTCTCCAATCTTCTCCTTTCTCCCAAAGCCTTTGTTTGTACTATGCTACCTACTATGTGTTCATACATATTCTTTTTCTGAATTGTTTCTCCAGTTTAATTTTTTTTTTTTTCTTGGTACCGGGGATTGAACTCGGTTCCTTGTGCTTCAAGGCAGGCCACTGAACCACTGAGCTAAATCCCCGGTCCTTCAGTTTAATTTTTTAACAAAAATGTCTTTACAAATTACTTGAAGTATAGAGTCATAGACTTTCACTGCATACTCAAGACAGCGAAGCAAGCAATAGCACTCAGTAAACATATTTTGAGCTTCACTGACAGGAGCTCTTGTGTAAGCAGTAAAATTCAGCCTTTTCTGATTGATCCCCAATAGTCAAGAAAAAATACCTAAAGCTGATTTCTTTAATTTTAACTTTTACTCATAGATGAGGAGATCAGTCTTTTTACATCTCCTGCACATTCCGCCCATTGCTAAGTGCGTGCTTATCTCCTAAAAATATTCTTCCACCAAGTTTGTATGCAAATTATTAGGGGCAAGTTGTCTCCCAGTTGGGGAAAAGGAGCGATTGCTAGAGTGAATTGAAGCACATTTTGTAGATGAGGAAGCAATGCGGAGGTAGAGTTCACGGTCCTGCCTAAGGTAGAAGAACTGAATATGACAGGAGAGCAGCAATAATGGAAACAGATCCTAAGCACGGAGTGATTGAATGTGACAAAATTTAATAATTTGGCTTCAAGCATTGGGCTCACTTAGGGTGGCAGGGATCCACAGCAACTTACCATCGTCCTGACCAGTAGGTATTACGACTGGATCAGGAGGGACTGCCAAAGAGGACATCGTGCAAGGTACTCTCCAGGTGTGCAGTACAATTATGTGGCTATTAAGGAATTTGATTTTATATCACCTGTGAGTCTAGAAATGGGATTTCTTCCATGATAAGCTTAAATGTTAGACATGGTAGTGTCATAAAGGACTGAGCATGGGTTTTTAGAGAGCACGGAAGCAAAAAGACCACCAAGAGTTGATGCTGCTGTAGACCAGCATGACAGGCAACAGCCAATATTACAATCACCCAAAGCCCAAAATCCTCCTTCCTTATTTCCACTGTACTCCCTGGTCCTACGCCTATTTTATTTCTGGTTGGGATAGTTGTTTAGACATTGAGACCTCTATAGTTGATGCTGACATTTGTCGTGTAAATATCGGGCTTCTAAATTAACCTCGTGGGTTTAGCTAAATTACCTCCCTGGACTTTCTCTTTTTTATGATCTCACCCAGAATGTGTGACAGAAGGTGAGACTAAACACAGATCCCAAAAGATGTCCTCCCAGTACTCCTGACAGTAGAGCAAGTTCCACAACCAAAAACCTAGACCACACATCAAGGTTAACGCAAAAGAATAGAAGATGAAGCAGTACCACTGACTCATGAAGCAGCCAGAATGTTCTCTCCCCCATGAGAGAGGAAGATCCAGATGCAAAGAGATCACTTTCTTACAAAGACGGCCAAACTCCCCATTAGAAATCTGAAATTTGAGACCAGATACCATCAGCGCAGGAAGATCCGTTACAATGGTAGCAGGAACAATTGGCTGCTGACTGCATGCTGTGTAACTCTACACTGAATACGGCACCTTGAAATGTGAGGCAGACACTCCCTCCTCAAGTCCAGTCATTACCAGGTAGGGCTCACAGGATTCTCCACATGATTAAGGCAAAAGCATCAGGCTTACCTTGGCAGCCCTAGGATCAGGCCTCTCTGCTTCCTGGTCAATCTACTCTAGATCCTCCCACCATTAGTGAGAAGGTGTGTGGTATACCTGCAGGTGAAGTATAGATGTATAGAGTCAGAAATTTCTTGATACTCTCCTCTGAACTATTGCAGCGGCACTGATCACATTCTTCCTGTACTTCCTGTACAGTACCTCCTATGCATAGTACTTCCTGTGCAGTATTTCCTGTACTTCCTGTACAGTACTTCCTGCACAGCACCTCCTATATAGTATTTCCTGTACAGTACCTCCTATGTATAGTACTTCCTGTGCAGTATTTCCCATACTTCCTGTACAGCACCTCCTATATAGTATTTCCTGTACAGTACCTCCTATATATAGTACTTCCTGTGCAGTATTTCCTGTACTTCCTATACAGTACTTCCTGAACTTCTCCATCCCTAAGTCTGACTCAGGCCTATGAATGGTGCCTTATATGTGGCAAGATATTAATGGATGACCGTAAATATAGAAGCCAAGAAATAGAAAAATCTCATCAGCCCAAGAAAGTGTGTGTGTATTTCATTTCAAGCCAATTAAAAATTGTTTATCAAAGATAACATGATATGTATAAAAACTTAATAACCTCAGAAATCATGCTTTTAGTTCAGCACTTACCCAGTATGTACAGATGTGATCAAGAATGCAAAATACACTAACAAAGGTGACTCTAAGTCCACACTGGATGGTAGCCAACATGTTCTGGGAGGGATTGGTGTATTTGCCTCTTGATTGATTATAGCATGGGTCAGGAAAGTAGAAGCCCGGAGTCATGTAAAAAGGACAGCCTACCCTTGGTCACTCATCTTTTGGCTGCAGAAGCTGGTGATCAGTAAATAACCACAGATAACTTCAGAGAGTGAAGAGGTCAACTGCTAGTGGCCATGACAGTAGCTGTAGTTTCGTGGATATTGCTCCTTAACATCTCTCTGTTCCCCACCCTCCAAATAAGCCTCCAAGGTGGCTTACTGTGAACACTGCAGCTCCACACACCTCTCTGGATCCCTGGTAGTGAGAGGGCCACTAAAGGGTCTAGGAGAGGCAGCCAAAATTAAGTCAGATTGGACTCATTTTGCAATTTACTCAATATGTGAACTTCACAGATAAAAATCTAAATGTCATCCAAAATGATAAAATGGTATAAGTAAGACTTAGGGCCGGTTTAATTAACAAAATAGAATGAATAGCATTTATGAGGTAATTTTTTAAAAGTTTTCCAAATTCTGGAGCAAACTGTGCTAACAGTTGAATTGGTGAGAGAAGCTTTTCTATTGTAAACAAATCTAAACTGATTCTCTCTAGGTAGAGAATGAATCCTTCCTCATAAAGACTTGCATCTTATTCGACCAACCAAGATATTTGGGCAGGGAGAGAAAGAAAAAAAAAGACTGCAAATGGCCCTGTATTGAACCGCAATGAAAATAGACTTGTGAGTTTATATTTCTTCAGGGACTTGATTCCTTTCCTCTGGCAAAAAACAACAACAACAAAAAAAAAAAAAAAAAAAAAAAAAGAAAAAGAAAAAAAACCAAAACAATCCCTAAGTCTGAAGATGACTTTTTAATGCTTTAAAATCCAATATCATCTGAAATATATATTTGTGTGGGTGGTAATGTGGCTTCAGCTCACTTCAACAAACATCATTAAAGTCTTATTGTGTACAAAGCATGTTTTATGTGGATAGTATATATATATAACCACAGTTTTTCTAGTTTTGTCCTGAACCTGAAGCAAGAAAACACTAATTTATCAGTAGATGCCGATACTTGCTGTTTAATTGTGTTTGTGCAGATAGAGAGAAATTTGAGGAATCTCATGTGATTATTTTTAATACTTCATTGGTAAATGAAGGGATTTTTTTTCTAAATTTTGACATTTTAATATTATGGCTCCAAATAATATTGAATATTTTAAAAATGAAATAAAGATAAGCTTATGTTAAAAAAGTGAGGATTTATTTGGAAAATTATTTTAATAGGGCATCACTAAAACCATCAAGTCACCCTAGTTTTGAACAAAATCATTTAGTATTCAGTTTATTGATAAAGATAAGATAATATCACTTTTCAAGCATTTAACCTATTAAAATCACTTAACTAAAGGATTCTGGTACAGAAAATGTATTGCAATAAACTATCTGGAAGTTACTTATAACGTGAAGTTTGGCAAATTTTACTCTACATTTAAATTGATCTACTTTATAATTGAATTTGTACTTTATATCTAACTCATGTAAGCTTCCTACAGATATACTTTTGGTATGTAAAAACTGGTAGAATTTAAGTTTTTATAAAAAGAAATTGAACATAAGTTAAGTTGAAGCAGTTTTAATGGGGAATATTCCATTGTTGTAGAATTCGTTTGTTTGAAGATGTCAATTATAAGAATCAGAAATTATCACGAACTAGGCAACTGTTATTTGATCTTATTTCATTCTAATTAATGGAAAATAGCTACACACCTTTTCAAAGATAATGAGCCTGAATAATGCTCGGTTCTTCTGTAGCACTGAATGCAGTCATCTCAGACTATAAATTTGGAAGAGAAATGCAAAAAGCCCCAGCCCATGAGAGAAAGGCAGGAGCATTTGTTCCCTGAATGTACTTATATTTCTGGGAAAAAAATGCTTACATTTGGATAATATATATATATTTAGCTCATATTGGGCATGTGAGTAATTTGTTTCCACCCAAAATCCAATGGATATTTTTCCCTGGTGTTCCCAAAGTAAATTTACTCATGGTCAGCATCCCTGGAAATAAATTTAAGAGTGAAGGAACCGAAACCCATAGTGCAGGGGAGGAAGAGTTTGAAGGTGGTCGGTCGCTACCATGACCCTTGGCTTCAGCGAGCTTTGATCATTGTAAGTGCCTGTGTAACCACCACCTAAATATCCCCGAAACTTCCCTCTCACCCCTTTCCAGTAACTCTTCCACCTCTGTCATAGCCAAAGCATTCTTATTTTTATCATCTATTATTGTTGTTGCTATTTACAGTGCTGGGGAGTGAGCCCAAAGCATTACTTGCTGAGTGACTGTGCATCCCTGCGGTACCGACAAGGAAACAATACACGATAGGGTAGACCTTTCTCTGTTGCCAAGCCCCGCCATATCTGTGCCATAAGATGTTCTGTTCAAGCAATGCAGCTGTTTGTACTGCGTGATGATCCTGCCCAATGTATGAAAGTGTTTTGTTCAAGCAATGTAACTGTTTGTGCCTCATGATGTTTCTACCTGTTTCAGAAATGTTCTGTTAACACCACCCTTCGCCTCGATGAGCATGCTCACAGGTGGGCCCACCCTCCTACCTGGAAGCTCTCTATATAAGGCTGCTTACATCACTGTTTGGGGCTCAGACTTCGGAGTACGAACTCCTCTGAGTCCACCAGGGTAATAAACGATCCTTCCATCTCTCTGAGTACTGCTTGACTTCTTCACCAAAAGGGACCTTCAGGTAACACTTGGCTGTAACAGTAAACCCACAGTCCTTCCTGTGATGTATAATTATCCTTCCCAAGTACTTCATGTAAATGAATCACCTAGTACAGGTTCCTTTGTGTTTGTTTATGTGGGTTCTTCCATTCAACATAACAATTTTATGATTCACTCACATCATGGAGTGCATGAACAACTTGTTACTTTTTCTAAATTTGGGTTGTTTCTAACTTTTGGCTACCACGAATAAGGCTGTTACAAAAACTCATGTACAAATTGTTTTGTAAATGTATGTTTTCATTTCTCTTGGATGAATGCCTAAGAGTAGAACTGCTGACCCATCATGTGAATGTATTCTTACCTTTATAAAAAGCTAGCAAATACCTTTCATATCTGTTTATCTGCTTTTCTATTTAGCTGTTCTTTTTCACTAGTGCTTTTTACTTACAAATTAGTTTACAAGCAAAATTTATCTTAGCAGAAAATGTCTGTATGATTGGACATTGTTTACTGTATAACAAAAACTGATGAATAGAATTAGAAGCCTATTGTTGTAACAGAATAATAGTTCTACAAGAACATCCACATCCTAATCCCAGGAAACTACAAATATGACACTTCATTTCCCTAAGGTTTCAAGTCTGGGCCACAGCCCTGCCCTCAGCCTGATATTGGCCTAAGATCAGCAGAACTGCAGTACCATAAATTTGTGTGAATTCAAGCCACGTAGCCTATGACAACTTGCAACAGCAGCAATAAGAAACAAAGACTCCTGTGATGAGACCAAATGAATCATAAATGTGATTTCAAAACTCCAAATTAAACATTGAAGGCTCCAGATTATGCTCATTTTTTTATACTGTTCTAGTGTATATAGGTTGGCCCACATTTTACTATTCGGGGAAGGGGCTTCTCATTTCTCATTTCCAGGGTAACTTGTACTTTATTTGAAGGATGTTCTGCTTTATCTGTTGCTAGGAAAAATGCAATTTTGGCTTGTTTATAAGTTTGCTCAGTGAATCTAGCATTCTAATTTGATGGTTATTTTCCCTTAACATATTGAAGATATCATTCCAGCCTTTTCCCTGGTTTCCAGTGTTGCTGTGGAGATATCAGCTGTCAATTTAGTAGTTTTCCTTTGCAGATAATTGGTATTTTCACTTTGTTGGCTTATAGGATTTTTCCATCTGTGTTTGATGTTCTTTGGTTTCTGTATTGTGTATCTTAAGTGAAGATTTCTTAACTTATATGTGGGGGATGATTCTTGAATCTAAATATAATATTGGTGTTTCAATCATTTTGAATACTGCTTTTCTCTTTCTCTTGCTGTCTCTCTTTCTTTCTTCCTCCTAGTTTTTGATTTTTTCAGGCTAGAATTCTGATTACACATTTATTGAAACTGTTCAGTCTACCTTCACTCTTACAGCCTTTCTTCTTTTGCTGTCTTATCTTAGTTCTGAAGATTTTTCTGCAACTCAGCTTTGAAAAGGCTTTTACCGACTCTTAGTGTTATAGGAAAATCAATTATTATAGGCTTTTTTTGAGTATCAAAAAAATGTTTCTGTCTTAAGTCTTTCATTTCAGTTTTGGGTTTCAAAGGGCCTCATTTGGAAGTCATTCAATGAACATTGACTTATTTTGGTATTCTTGTCTTACTATTAAAATTGTTCTTGAGACAACACACACTTTTGCCAAAACAGGGTGAATGCTATGCACAAAATGTACAAGAATTTGGCTACCAAAGGATAAAGTTTCATAATTTTATGCTGGTACTTCTCTTTTATTGCGTTCAATCATCATGAGATATTTGTGGAGTGAGTATTCCTTCTGTTCGAAGTTCTGTCCAAGTACTGGAGGTAAAGCTCAACTGGATTCATTTTCTGATTTAATAGACCTTACTACAAACTTTGAGAGAGATTAGAGTTTGGGTAATAAAACAATGTCTATTGATTTTCCTCAGTTACAAATGCAGCTAAGGGTAGTTTACATGCTGATTTCTCCCTGGCCTTCTGTTTACTGGGACAAGGGTACTTTCCTCCTTGCCTGTGCCTTTGCACGACAGGGAAGAAATTAACAACTCTGTGACCTTGGCCAGGTCATATTTCACCTATGAGTATTTAATTCTGCATCGGTATCATGAGGAAGTAAAGCCATCATCCTCTAAGGGTCATGAAGAGAAGCCAGTAAGTTAATATATGTGAAATTTCTGACACGCAATACATGCTCAACAAATGTAAACACAGGCTTGTAAGTTTAATTAAACAATGCTTTTATCACTCAAGTCTCCATGTAGACCAAGGTCACTTCCAAGACTCTCCCCTTTAGAAAATTACCTCATCTGGAAACATATGAGCCACTTCTAAGAAGCTGCTTAACTAATTATGAATGGCAAGGAAAGGGTACTTGTTCTTACAGCCACTGCCACACAGAGGGACTCTCATCCCCCTAGATGATACAGTTTTTCAGAATTTCCTTTCTTTCCAGTAGATTTCTCTTTGGATGAAGTTATATTAGGCCCCCAGATCTTCCACATTTTCCCCCAAGATAGAATGCAAGTACATAATATATGCACGTAATATGTGGTAAGTTTTCATTTTAAAATTGGTGTGCTGTAGCAACATGACTTAATCTTGTCTTCCTTTTGCCCATCCCCTCCACCCCAAGCCCTTGAACATTATTTCTGCTTTCTCATATATGTGACAACTTTGAGGTTTGGAAAGGGGGAGGCTTGTTCAACAGCTAGCACTTCTGTTTTGGAATATTATGAGTTGGTTTGGGCCAAAGGACAATTCTGAAATCAGACAAACATGAGAAAAATGGAGAAATTGTATCAGTGACCTGAATCCTGCAGCAGACCCCAGATCTGTCCCAAGGGCTGGTGAAGTTGACATATCAAAGAATAGACAAGGGATGCAGGGAATCACATCTGACATTGCTACCCAGCTTTTTTGGTGTTTTATTAATTATTATACTTTTTTCTTTGAGAGGACAATAAAGCTTTAACATGCTGGGGTTTCTTCTTCATTTCTGAGAGCAGGTCACAATATGGTCATTGCATTAGAAGAAAAGGATGGGCAAGGTTCAAAGAGAAATAGAAAAAAGATCAAGGACAAACATTAAATCTGAAAGGGAATTTTCCATCCTTATTTTAAGTATATTCTTTATAATGGACAGAAAAATAAATATAGATTCTCAGCAGAATTTAGGTAAGGGAAATTAAGGTTAAGTATTGCTGTAATTGTTTTTAATAGAGGGGAACAGTTGAGGAAATTAAACAGGGTATTAAGATATGTAACTTAAAGAAAGAAGGATATAAATGTGGCACCAGCAGAAATTGCTAAATAGTTTACAAACATGAAGTTAAAATATTGCTCTAGCTAATCAGGAACCAATGAAATTCACACTTTTGTCTATAATTTTAACTGACCAATAATTGTGCTTTGGGTCATCTTTCCTGGTTAAATCTAGAACTCAACACTTCTCTTAGATCTGCTTTTTATTGTTTTCCATTTATTTGGTTGTTATTTATATTCATTTTTGAGGTTAAGGAGACATATTTGTCAGATGCCTTGTCACTGGGAGACTCAATAACAAACTCCCACAACTTAAAGGAAGAGAAGTTTAATTTGGCTTATAGTTTGGAGGAGTCAAACATGGTCGGCTGCCTCGAAGGCAGAGACATCACGATGGAAGGACGTGGAGGAGAGCTTGCTCAGGTCATGGCAGACAGGAAGCAGAGAGCAAGGGGAGGAGCTGGGGAGGAAGAAGGAGCCTCCAAAGACACGCCCCAGTGACGCATCTCTTCCAAACAGCTCCCCCTCCCACCTCCTAACGGCACATTTAGTTATGAACTCATTCATGGATCAGTTCACTCCTGAATAGTGTGCTCGCTGATCCAAACACCTCCCAAAAGCCTCACCTGTGCCCATACAGGACTTTGGAGAAACATTCTAGACCTACCCACAGCAGGAGAGTTTTTATTCAGCTTCATTGATCTGAGAGAATTACTTACACCTCAGGATATATTTCACCTTTGCCTTGGAACATATATCCTTAAAGTTCCTTCAAATCCTGACGTACTAGTGGCCGCCCACTTTTATTACAGCAAATCAGATCAAATTTATTCTCTTTTACCCAGAGTTCTGGATCCTATCAACATGATGCCACTAGCTTGACTTCCTTCATTCTATCTTGGATGCTGCCCAATGCTGCCGGTGTCCCAAGTTAGGTTCTCTGGATACAGTGACTTCACTGGGGATCACTCTAGGAATCAGTACCACTCTTTGAGTGTTGGAAGTAGAACTGGGGGAAGAGAAGGTCAGCTGTCATGCAGACATGACCAAGATCTATTGCTACGGAGAATTATGGACCTGGGACAGCCCTTCAGCTTTATCTAAGTGAATGTTAAGTCAGCCAAGCATGGGACATCCCATTCTGACTAGAGAGGAAGTAAGCGGATGAGGTGACTTTCGTCAGGCAAAGGGAATAACAGGAGCAGTTTAGGTGGGAATTGTGGGCCACCAATACTCCCAGCAAGGGAATTAGAGCTTGGAGCGCCACCTAGAGGAGGGAATTGGGATGGTGCACCAGGGAGAAGCCATCACAGCTTGTTAACCATCCCTCCTAGACATCTTCAGAGTCCTATTTTCTAATCTCTTCTGCCCCAAAAGCTCTCACTTTCCTTTCTAATTTCCTTCCCTGTGCTTCAGAGAGATTTTCGGTCTCTTCTCCTAGGTCCCCGTGTCTCCTTGAGGCCCTACTCCACGAGTTGTGGCCTTTGAAAAATATTTATGGCGAGAATATTGCAACAAGTTGTAGGTACTTCTTCTCTGCCAAATTTGAGGCTTT